CCCGAGGTAAAAACACCTTTTAGACAAAAAGCCTAATTTATTATTGTTTCAAGATTTGAATATTTCAATTAGAATTTTTAATTCATAGAATTACACACCAAAATAACCTAGTGACTATAATTTGTTATCATCACAAAACTATGGCATAATGAATTTTAAGCTTTGATCAATCAACCTGACAATCTCTTGATAGTTTTTATTTTCTAATTAATTTATAAGACAACAAACAGTTCTTTTTAATATACTATGATTTGCAAATAACAGTATTGTTTATGCATAGTCATTCTGACATGATAACGCATATAATCGGCTGAGTTAATAATATGACCTGGTCACAATTAACAATGGTGCTCTTTTTGAATTAATAATTCTATTTATCTTAATATTAACTACCTTATAACCAAGTAGTTAATCATTAATATTCTATCCACCTGCTTCGGTCTGGGCACCCGGGCAGTATCACAGCCCTCACATATATCCAATGAGATCTGTGTGGCGCATATGTATTTGGTGCCTCCGTGTACCGATATCTGTGTGTTAAAATAAATAAATAATAATATTCTATCCAACTAAGACTACTGATACTTATATTGTGTTCAGGTCTTTTTATCGATAAAAATATTAAAATTCAATGATCATCTCAACTTATCATTTTTTTTCTAATAAATGAATGGAACGAAGTTAGTAAGTGCACAGAATTCTTCACTTAAACTTAGCTCAACTAACAACAGGGAATAGTTAGTAAAGCGCTGAAAAACAATTAAACAGGATAGTACGAATTCACTTTTTTCTAAATTTTAGTATCAAAATGTACGTTCAAGTAATTGATTCAACCAGGAAGAAAACATTCAGTAAAAATACTACATAATTAAAAACTGAAAGTAAGCAATTGGAGTTGTAACATTAATGATTGAAGTAGCCTATTTATAGGATTATCAAATAAATATACACTGCATTATAAAAGAAAAAAGTGCACAGAGCTGATAATGTAAGGAAGTTCTCTATTAGCCTGACCGTTGTTGCTACCTTGACATGGTGGTCGGGCTTGCCTATCGTGATGAAGCAACTGAGCTATACTGCCTGGAACAACCGTTCCTCAAGGTCCTATCATGCCAGAGAGGTCGGTTGAATAGCGGTAAGACTAAAAGCAACAAATCCAAGGTCCGAAGTCGTACTGCTGACTGTACAGAGGTGTGACAGCAGTGAGGTGTTTCCTTCAGACAACCAGCATAACAGCGATGCTGCCTTCCCACGAGAAGGGGTGGGGTTAGAAAAAAAGGTCGACCCTAAAATTGCACACCTCGCCTTATCCCACGGATTTTCGCCTTCGGCGGTAAGGTCTCAACAAGTACGGAGCCAACACAAAAACTACTCATAAAAGGTCGTGTGTGACCGACCTTAAGCAGCTGTCCCTTGAGCACTGCGCTCCCGCTCGCAGGTCACTATGACCACCTCTAATCCAATTTCCTTTTCAGGTACGTCCAGCAGAACCCTTCCACGGTGTGGGCAACCGGGAAGTGATAACCGCCCTCATACTTCTAACAGCACTCAAGACCACTGTATTCATAATCAACCTCCCTCTTCAATTCCTATTATTCCTCTTACATCGACTTTCAAATCTAAACTACCTCTTTCAGCTTCCTCCTCACGTATCACCACAATCAATGATTCTAGTGCGCAAAACACTGTCCCAGGTCTACTGAAACCTAGCTCCAAACTACACATGGGAGCCTTCAACGTACGCACACTATGTCTAATCGGTCAGCAGGCTTCCTTGGCTAAAACCTTAGAATCTCGTACGATTGATGTATGCTGTGTCTCCGAAACACGCATACAGGATCCTAGTGTGGTCATTCACTTGACCTCACCTCGGCCAAACGGAGAGCCAACGAGATACACCCTCCGTGTATCTGGCGACCCGATGGCTAGTTCTCGTGGACTGGCAGGTGTAGGCATAGCACTAAGCATGAGGGCGGAACAAGCGTTATTAGAGTAGATCCCCGTTAATAGTCGTCTATGCGCTGTTCGGCTAAACGGCTCCGTAAGAACTCGGAAGGATAGGGACACATGTCGATGCCTTTTCGTCGTTTCTGCCTACGCTCCCACTGACTGCAGTTCGGATGAAGTGAAAGATGAATTTAACAGAAAGCTAAACGTTCAGACATAGTACTCGTAGCACGCGACTTTAATGCCCAGGTAGGTAGCTTAAACGAAACAGAAAGACATTTAGGTGGGTATTTTAGTATTCCGGCACAGAGAACAGATAATGGTGATCGTCTGCTGCAAATGTGCTCAGACAATCGTTTATTTTTAGTAAACACAAACTTTAAGCATAAGGATAGACATCCTCTAACATGGCGACCCCCTGCACCAAACCAACGATGGACTCAAATAGACCATATTGCCATCAGTCATCGTTGCAGAGGGTCAATAGAAGATTGTCGCTCATTCTAGAGCACCTGCTTGAACTCCAACCATGCCCTAATACGAGCACGCATCTGCTTGCGCCTCACTGGACGCAAAAAAGACTCATTAGAACTGAGCTGAGTAACGATAAAACCAAAAGTAGGTTCCAGGAACAACTGAGCTCACACTTAGGTAGTTCTGAAAACGAGGCTGACCCCGATGTTGCTTGGAAAGATATACAAGCAGCTGTGGAAACTGCAGTGACATCTACTAGTGATTTAAACCACAGGGTTACAAAGAACAAATGGATTTCTTCAAGGTCTATTGCACTGATAGATTCTCGTAAACTCATCGCATCAGGTTCTGAACACGATGAAGAGAGTAAACAAATCAGATCTAGGTTAAGCAAAAGTCTAAGGAACGATCGTGAGCAGTGGTGGGCAACGAAAGCAAAAGAGATGGAAAAGGCGACAGCTATAGGGAACACAAGACAACTCTACAGACTAATAAAAGAAATTGGAACTAATAAATCAAGTGTAAGTCAGACTATTTCGGAAAAAGACGACACTCATCTGCTTCCAGTCCAGACGTTTAGAACGATGGGCGGAACACTTTAAGGAGCAGTTTAGCTGGCCTTCAGCTACTCTACAACTACCCTCTATCCCCAGACAGTATGAATGGAACATTAAAGTAGGTCCTCCAACTCTAGCTAAAGTTCAAAAGGCTATAGCTAATCTGAGACGAGGAAGGGCAGCTGGTCCAGACGGATTGGCCCCAGAGGTCTTTAAGGATGGTGGTCTAGTTTTAGCGATTAGGTTGACTAATATTTTAGCTAAAATCTGGGAGTTGGACGTTATCCCATCTAACTGGTCACAATCACTTATCGTCCCAATATTTAAGAAAGGGTCAAAATCATCCTGTGACAACCACAGAGGGATTAGTTTGACTAATATAGTATCTAAAATACTAGCCTCGATAATTATCGGGCGTCTAAATAAGACCCGTAAACTGCAAACACGTGAAAATCAGGCTGGCTTCAGACCTGGTCGTGGCTGCATCGACCACATATTCACCATTCGTCAGGTTCTAGAACACAGGCATACTTATCGGCGTCCGACAATAGTGGTCTTCCTTGATTTAAAAGCAGCGTTTGACTCTGTTGACCGAGAGGTTCTGTGGCAGTGTCTGTCATTGAAAGGCGTACCTCTGAGGTACATAAACCTTGTGAAGGCTCTTTACTCGAACACTACTAGTCGAGTCAGAGCTTATGACGAACTGTCATCTGCTTTCGCAACCTCAAGTGGCGTCCGCCAAGGCTGTCCACTTTCTCCATTTTTGTTCAACTTCATCATAGATCTACTGATGGAAATAACGCTCTCATCGACTGAATTCTCAGGTATTGATCTCCTACCAGGAGGTCCATTTATTGACTTAGAATACGCAGATAACATAGTCCTGATTAGTGAAGACGCTGATAAAATGCAGAGTCTTTTGGTAGCACTGAGCAACAATGCCAGGATGTTTGGGATGCGCTTCTCTCCCTCCAAATGCAAGTTGTTGCTTCAGGACTGGTCTGCGTCAACACCTGAACTAAGGATAGGGAGTGAAGTGGTCGAATGTGTTGACAACTTCACTAATCTTGGAAGTCTGATCAGCCCTAATGGGTTGGTGTCTGACGAAATCTCAGCACGGATTCGAAAAGCTCGCTTGGCCTTTGCCAACTTACGTCATCTATGGCGAAGGCGAGATAGTCGTCTATCAATTAAGGAACGAGTGTACTGCGCGGCAGTTCGTTCCGTTCTACTATACGGCTGCGAAACATGGCCTTTAAGAGTAGAAGATATTCGTAAGTTACTAGTATTTGACCACAGGTGCCTTAGAAATATTGCGGGTATCTGCTGGGATCACCGGGTAAGTAATAGTGAGGTTAGACGCAGGGTATTAGGGAATGATGGTAAATCAGTTGATGAGGTTATGAATCTTCATCGACTGAGATGGTTGGGCCACGTGCTGCGTATGCCTGAACACCGATTACCACGACGCGCAATGCTAACCGGTGTTAGGGATGATTGGAAGAAAGTTAGGGGCGGCCAAACCAAAACGTGGCATCAGTGCTTGAAGCAACTAACTTCTGGTCTGAGCCATGTTGGTAGATGCAGACTGCCTGGTTGGGGTCCGCGTGACTATCGTAACCAATGGTTGGAGACTCTTGGTGACATGGCTCAGAATCGATCACAATGGCGTCGGTGTATACACTCTCTGTCTTCCTTTAAACAAAGAGATTAAAATCACTTCATATCTTTCTTTCTAGGAACTAATTTTATCTTCCTGTACTATCTCCTTATACACACTCTTTCTTCTATATATTACAACCACTGAATTAACTACTTCTATGAATCCGGTGTTGATCTTGTTGTGCTAATGCGGTATGGCAACTTGGACCGATGCATATACGTGCCTGGTCCTACGTTGCAGCTGACTGACTGACTGACTCTATTAGCTGCAATAAGCGCTCGACTAAACCCATTTTGATGTTGAGTAAAATTCCCTTATAAAGATCTTGAACACCAGAATAAATCATAACTGAAAGTTTTCCAGATACACATTTTTAAATACAACAAACATATTGTTATTGAATGTGATGTTTGTAATAATATGTAGAAAAAATATTACACACACTTCATAGAGTAACAGAACTATCAGAAATAGTGCATGAAACATTAGGATTTTTTGCTTAGTTCTTCTCCGCGTGCACAAACTTTCTGTACTGCATCCATAAGTGTAGCTCGTAGATTACCTTTCTCTAAAGCATAAACACCTTGAATTGTTGTCCCGCCAGGTGAGCAAACTTCATTCTGCATAAGCACACAGATATATATATATATATATATATATATATATATATATATATATATATATATATATATATATATATATATATATATAAGGAAACTGTATAATATAATCATCACGATACAACTAAAAATACAGTTAGTAAAATTTTGAAAATGAGAATATTATCATAGAACACTAGAAACTATTTTTCATTAGTCAGTAGAGGGCATGCTAAATAACAAATTTCCTTTTGACATCATTAGATTGGATTATTTGTTTGAAGTTTACGATAATCTACATATTTGAATTGTTCAAATTCTTAATTTTTCCAAAATCCCTAACACATTTTAGATCTATGTTAAACTTCAGTAGTGTTATAGATGTGTGAGTGACTGACACATTCTAATACCACACATCTGAGAAGGTTAAATCTTCTTGAAATAACTAAAAGAATGGAATCGGTATTGATAGTTTTATCGATTATGGAACGTGACTGTAAAGATTGGAAACACAACTCCTTGATGCCGATTATAATTGAAGTTTCTCTAGTGCTAAGTTTTTGCAATATATCATAACTTTTTTGAACGCTACTGCTTTAAATGGAGATCCATGGAAGCATAAACGTATTCCTCATTGGGAACAATTAAACCTAACTTTCTTCGGTGAGAAAGATGAAAATACCGGTTACCCGTAAGGAACAACAATGCCGTTAAGTCCTACGACATATAATAGTTCAGTTGGAATATTTTTCTCATTTTTTGATGCTTAACAATAAAATGACAACATACTGTTTGAATCTTATCAAGTTACAATAAACCTATAAAAACTAATCATAGAAAAAATATAAACAGATTTAAGAATACATTACATGAAATGCAAATCAAAAAAAATATAAAATAATGCATTTTAATGAAAATATTTTACAATATTAGTTTAAAACTAGTGGTTGGTAGAAAATTGAATTTTCATTTAAATGAATAAGCTTATTAATTTTAACTATTAGATTTATTCATTGAAATGTATAATAAAATGCAGTCAACTAAAGAAACATAATCGCTAATTCTTTGGTTTACTCAAGGTGTAGAAGTTATGAAAACCAAATTAAAATCTAACATTAAACCCCCCAAAGAAAGAAATTGGCAACCAGTAATCGATCCAGTATAAATTATATGATGATTGGAAGTATTCTTTCTGAAGGAGTTATTTATCGATCTCACTGATATCGTTTTGATTAATTTACATTATATCCTAAAGGTTCCGTTACTTTACTTTTATTGGTTTTTGTTTTGTAATCATCTCAAATTATTTCTAGTAGATTAATTATTGTTTGGCATAAACTTTGTTATATATGACAACAAAACTGCATTTAATCAGTTGTGATTACGTGATACAGTTTTTCATTAAAAAAATAAAGATCAAGGCATTGTTAAAGCAAATTTTCATCACATTTATGGTATAAAGAAAGATCTTTTTCCGAAGATACTAGTATTGATAAATTGGGTCACTAAAGAAAAATGTGTCCTTATTACATTGTTTTATATACACTAGTCATTATTATATGATGCTAGGACAACACATATGCTACAATTGTAATTTAATTGACTAAGAACGTTTACGGTTTCAGCTTGTATATATATATATATATATATATATATATATATATATATATATATATATATATATATATATATATATATAAATGTAACCACAGTTTACTTTTAATTCAGTTGTACTTTTGCCTGTTTTTTGCATCATTACAGCTGAGCCTAATATAGTATTGACAATTAGTTTCTGTGCAATTGGGCGTGGTAAACCTAATAGAACACCAGCATCGGTAATTGCTTCAGTGATCATATAAATCTATAATAAGAAATGATGGAGAAAAAAGTAGACAAACAAATAAGAACCATTCATTTCAAAATGCAATTTATAATTTCAGATAATCAATGAAAAAAGGAATATGATAATTATCAGGTGATAATGATTTGAATTTAATAACAATGATAACACGTACATATTCTTGTTTTGTGAAGATTATTTTATTTGGTAAATGGTATTTGTTACAGATTGAACTTAGTTGGGGTACATGGGAAAAATGAGAAGCACTACTGGACAGATATTTTGTTCTAATATAGGATTCCTCAGTAATGCGTACTCATAATCTTGAGACGGATCAAGGTAATACAAGGAAAATTTAGTCATCTAATGGCTCTCAACAGCATTGGAAACTGAGGACTATTAGAGACGAAGACTATACAGTATATATATATATATATATATATATATATATATATATATATATATATATATATATATATATATATATATATATCACTGTTCGATAACTACATTACGTAATATCATAAGGAATCCAAGTTATCTACTTTTCGAATAGAAAATACTTCAACAATGATCTTCAGAATCTGTAATAAATTTATTAGTTTTATTTAAATGAATGGCTTTTGTTTAGGAATAAACTAACTCATGATATAATGAAATCAGTTAGTATATAACACTTTTATGGATATGTTTTAGACAATTATTCTGGAGAAAAACGCACACACACATGTAATACTACGTGAAAAAAAAACATTTGAAAACGAATTTCGTTTACACTGAGAAAGTAACATTTATACAAACAATGAATTGATATTTTATCATTAAATTAATTGAAATGTTATTGGGCCACAAAATGATGCATATTTATGAATCATAAAATGTTATTGTATTTAGAAAATGAATGCATCGTGATTAAGTATAACTCGAAAAAAGAACATGTGACAGTTGTGAAGATGGTGAATATAACAGTTACTTGAATTAGTAATACAGACAAAATAACGACTATAAAAGAAAAAAAAGATGGAGATAATAACGAATAAATGTCTTGTAATGGACATACGATAATCAATAAACTACATAATAGTACACATGGTTGTAGAGTTGATACTTTGTGTTTTTTTTGTCATACAGTAAAAAAAAACAGTAAGAAGGAGAGAAAGAACCTTCAAGATAAGCATCTAAATAAAAAGTCAAATGAATATTTATATTTTTTAAATCTGTTTTTAATAAGTGTACTGAAAATGTATTATGATTATACCATGTTCATTAAATTTGTTTAATATAAACATTGGATACCACTAGTTGGATTAGTTTTCATAATAATAATAATAATAATAATAATAAGTATAATACTTGCTAAATAAAAAAGAAACTGAACAACTTATCCTAAGAATTTTAAAACAATTAGTCCCTTTGATAAATTTCGATAATGCAATCAGAAGAAAAAGTTTATCAGAATTATGAGATATATTTCGAATAATCTGATCACGTATATACTTGTTAAGACATTTTTAAAGGTAAGTCATAACAAAGAAAAAAAATAATACTAAAGTAATTAAAATAAACCATAGTGTCATTGAATAAGAAACAGAGAATTCAGCGAAGAAAATTTTCTTTTCGACGAAATCATTTACTTAAGCTGTACATTCGTATATATGGTATATATCGTATATATAGTACGTAACCCCATTTGTTATTTTCCTTGAATCCATTTTGGTGATACAATTTTTCTATCGTCCAATACTCATACATTTTCCATATAACTATATATACGAATGTACAGCTTAAGTAAATGATTTCGTCGAAAAGAAAATTATCTTCGCTAAATTCTCTGTTTCTTATTCAATATTAAAGTACAAAAATACAATGTGATTACCACTCTGGATAATAAATCAGTATTATCATGGTATGTTAAGTGTAAAGACAGATTGTTTTAGAACGCATAAAGGGTGTTTCAATTTCCGTATAGCCAAGGTTTCAATAAACCTTAGTATATGAAGAATTTTAGTTTAAATTATGTAATCATTTATCGAGATTCATTCTGTCCATTACCTAATAATAAGATAATTTTGTCGAAATACAATAATTTGGAAAAACAATGACAAACAGGAAATAATTATTTTTTGATAAGTAGAATTTTATAAATCAACACAGAATTAAGCTAATAGAATGACTTAGATTATCTAAAAAGTTGATAGAATTTTGTAGGACTTCGAAATATAGACAATTTGAATACAGAAGGGGTTTTGTGGAGATTTTAGTAATTTCAATAGTTCAAATCAAGAGTCGATTGAAGCTAGACCACCATGGAAAACCTGGAAGCACTGGACGGCCGTTTCGTCCTAGTATGGGACTCCTCAGCTACCCACTAGTGACTGACTTCAAGAGGCATTTCCTGGAGTTCTAGTGAGAAGTAGTGACCAGTGGAGTTCAACCAAGTCTGTTGTGAGATATCAGCTCAGTGAAGACAATGGTGGACGGTGTCTCAACTTCGTGGATTGGTTGAAGTTAGACATCAACACCGTTGGATGCCGGTTCAGTGGTCTGATGGATAAGCGCTCGCACGTGAGACTGACAGGTCCTGAATCTCGCGGGGGGCGGATTCGTGGATGCGCCCTGCTGAGAAGTCCCATGCTAGAATGAAACGGCCTTCCAGTGCTTCCAGGTTTTCCATGGTGGTCTAGCTTCAATTGACTCATGAATTCAACTATTGAAATTTAAATACAGTTAAATAATTAAGATTATGTATTTGATTTATATAAATCATTGATAATGCCAATCATAACGATAGGGGAAATAGAAATTTACTGCTTGTAAATGTATATCTATTCGTAAAAATCTTTTTAACATACACACATAAACCATCATACGTTCAATTTTATGTTAGTATTGAAATTCATTTAATTATTTACAAGGTCATCGACTAACATATTCAGTTTTAAATAATTCTTTCTGCCTACAATATAAAAAAAATCCCGTAAGAATTCTTTGTCGAACATTGTCTCCAATAAAATTACATTGTAGAAAATAAGAAACATGACGAAATAATTTCTACAAATCTACACTGTTCCTAGTGTAAATAGACTATTACTTTATATTAATTTTTGCAAAAAATAACAGTTTATACAAAATAAAAAACAGGTAATAATATACTTTTCAATTACTACTTAATAACCAATGAAACAAAGCAATGATTTGAATAATAAACATAATTATGTATCCTTGAGATGTTTCGGAGTGGGACACGTGAAATGATGCCTCAAAATCATAGTATAATAACTAGTGATTTTAGTGATACAGTCATCTTTACAATTCAATCTTAGTCGGTAAAAGAAACAAAAAATCATGTTTCATTCTACTTTTCTTACATACTTTCATTAGATTTATATCAGCCTCTGATGTATGAATCGTATTTTTCAGACATACGTAGTTTACATACAAGTAAACTAGGCCATATTAAACCAAAAAATGCAAAATAATATTTGTACAAGATCAAGTCAAAAGTGGGAGACTGTAGTTGGAGACAAATTAAGAATGGCAAGTCGCATAACCGTAGCTGATAGATCAAATAAAAGCTAATGATAAAAGGAGTACGAATATATGTATAATCTGGTTACTTAGTAGTTATCGAATAAGAATATATGCAATAATAATCCATAAATAATTCCTAGCACTTACTATCCTTTTATTCTTCATACAGATATAACAAGTCCTATAGAAGAAAAACAGCGCCTCAATGATACCGTCTATGACTGTTTCATAAAAACACTACCTTCAATCGCTATATGATATCTATAAAAAGATTGTAGGACAAAAATAAGTTTAAATAAAAATATTTAACACAGTATAGAACACTGAAAGAGGAATAGCAAATTACGCTTTGCATAAATTATATGAGGAACTCAAGCACGATTAGCATGGTGTTCTCTAAATGTCCTTTCAACAAAAAGTCACAAATATTAATCGATTTTGATTACTACAATCAACCCTAACCAGTGGAAGAGAAAGTTTCAAATAAAATTAGGGTTTATATATTTGATTACGAATAATAATTACATGATTTTTCAGGTGACTTTAGAATATTTACAAATAAGACTACAGACTTTGAATAAGGTGTTGGAAACACATAAAAAGACATTTCCAAATCACTTAATCTGTATTGTACATTTAACAGATTTATTTTTAAAGATCTAATCATACTTTGAACGAGTTTGAAAAAGTAAAATTTGAACGAACTGAAAACATTTTTTTCGTTGTTTAAAATTAAACATGAAATTGCTCAAAGATAATTTTACACCCTACTCCATACAATACTAAAGACTTATTACATAGGACAAAATGCTGATTCTATTACTCGATTATCATATGGTTCATCACCCCACCCAAATTATTTTAGTGATTACAATGAATTAACGACTCTCTCTCTCTCTCTCTCTCTCTCTCTATATATATATATATATATATATATATATATATATATATATATAACTGTTACCACATTCACAGCCTCAATAAGACTAAAAGAAATAATAGTCGCCTTATTTACAATAGCCTTGTACTTTAATATTTATAACTTACCAGAAATATACAACAAAATAAACCTGTATATGCTCATGAATTGAGTATTGAGTATTTTTATTCCCTGATTGACTGTTGCACTTAAGGTGAATGATGTGGGATTTAAAATCAAGATCTATTTGTTAATGATTTGGTGCTTAGTTAATTTCAAATGGAAAAATTTTAAAAAGACAGTGGTAAACTGTTAAGTAATCGTGCATAACTGTTAATTAACTTTGAGTAAGTGTCTAATCGGTCAACAATCTCCTGTATAAATAGGATGTTTTTCAAGACCATTTGGAAAAGTCATTTGGTATATAAGTAAATAAAGACAATAAACTTAAAAGTATTCACATAATTTAAGTTAACAGTAAACAACTTTGTGCAATTCTACCATATGTATTGGTTGTTTGAATATTTCTGTTGATGTTATAGACTGTCATTGAGCAGTCTCTTTTGACAAA